TGTGAATGAAAATAGTAAAAGGAACCCTGAAAAAGGTGGTAGTCTGTAACATTTACATTGATTTAGCAGGCATGCTTGTCCAAAGCGATGTATAAGTGAGGAGCAGAGAGCAGGATCAGCCTGTCCCCGGAGCAGGATCAGCCTGTCCCCGGAGCAGGATCAGCCTGTCCCCGGAGCAGGATCAGCCTGTCCCCGGAGCAGGATCAGCCTGTCCCCGGAGCAGTTGAGCTTAAGAGCAGCTCACGAGGGTCACGATAGATGTGGGGTCGCTGCGGCTGACACGGGGAGTGTGCTGCTGCTGTGGTCGCTGCGCTGTGGCCGCCCCCGGCCGCTCCCCCACCCCCTCTGGATGTACTCATTAGGACTGTTTGGCATCCGCAGGACTTTTCGCTGCCTGAGTGTTTCTCTTAATTGCGACTGGCTCCGGTAAAACCCAGCTAAATAAATATCCCTTCGCTGCTGCTGGAGTTTATCATGCTCGTGTGTGAGTTTTACAACATTAATGCATCATTTAGGAAGATGGACTGTGTTGCTCTGATCACGGCTGTCAGATGAAGGTGCAGATGAAGGTGCTGAAGGTGCTGTCAAAGCAGCCCTGTCTCCACAAAACGCATGTGTGTATGTTTGCCTGGACAAGGCCTGTGCTCTTAAAAGAATGTAATGAAGTTAACATGACCAAGTTAATAGGCCTGTTTCTCAGAGCGCCCCCTGGCTGGGAATGGTGTGTTGCTGGCCTGTTGTGTCCCAGAGAAGCAGATGACGTCCAGCAACTTTGGCACTGGAGTGAAAAATCTCGCCTGGCTTTGAAACTCCTAATCCTTTTATTTGGAAGAGAATCAATAAGGAGCTAGTGCCCCCCCCCCCCCCAATGCAGCAGGGGGAATGAGGCGTGGTAGTAATTATCCACAGACTGCTGGGCCTGGCTAGGGTGGCTGGGAACGCCCTCTTGCCCTTCTGGGGAGGGAGAAGGGGCTTTCATATCTGCCTCTCTGAGTTTCAGTGGGACAATGAGATTGTATACATCTCAGCCTCCCTTAAAAATGTATCCCGTGCAGAGCGGCTCTTGGCGCGGACAGCGGGCACAGTCCCCTCAAAGTCCCTGGGCTTCGGACTGGTACAGGTCCGGGCATCCATCACATGTCAGGTCCCTGTGCCTTTGCTGAACATCTCTACCTATAGTCCGTGCTGTTCTACTGAAGCGCTTATGGCTCCTCTGAAACCAACCCCCTGCTCTTTTTGTGATCAGCCTATTTGTCTGTCTTTCCCTGTCTGCACTAGTTTCCATTTTTTTATTTTGGGGTGGAAGCAAATGCACCTTAATGTGCAGCCTGCTTCTTCATTTGTTGTTTTTTGTTTATTTATGCATTTTAATTTTGTTCTCAGTTCCTGTTTTCTGCATCCTGGGAATGCATGATTGGTGATGTCTAATCAGTCAGAAATGCTCTGTGAATCGCCTCGACGCAGGACCTGGAATCAGATTCAAATCCAGCAGTATTTAAACTCCCTAAATCAGCTTCTCCAAATCCCTTCAAGATATTCTGGGCTCCATTGGTTGGCATTAAAGGATCAGGCAAACAGAACAATTCATTGCAGGGGATGGAGGCGTTGGATTGGGGATGGGGGACGTACCGTGTATGCAAGCAGAAGGCTCTGTCCAGGCTGCTGTCTGATAGCGGCTTACAGCATGTCTTACTGATGGGACAGAGTGAATCCTTTTAATGTGCTGTTCTTATTCCCCTGGGTTTAGAAGCACTAATGCTATCTGTGTGTGCATTTGTATTTACTACATTGTGGGGACCATATTTCCCCACAATGTGATAACTTGCGACCTTTTACCTTGTGGGGACATTCAGACTCTCAGTATTATAGAAATCTGACTGCAATCAAAAAACGAAAAATGCCAAAAGTCTTACATTTGATTTGGTCACTTATAGTTAAAGTAAAGGTCTTGATAAGGGATGAGGTTGTCAGGATTAGGCTTAAACCCATAGCAATGAATGGGCGGTCCCCACAAACCCGTGTGCGTGTGCGAGAGCACTGTGCTGTCTGCTTTGATCATAAATTTAAGTAAGACCTTTATCTACTTTCTTAATGTATCCTTCACGTGTGCCTCAGTGAGTTAGTCAAGGCCTTTGCTGGGGGGGGGGGGGGGGGACCTCGGGAGCCTCGGGTTCTTTGCGACTCATTGTGCAGCACTACACCTCTCTGGGGGTGCCGGTTAGAAATGGGTTAGAAATGGACCTGCTTCTCCCAAGGCTGTGTTGCCAACTACGGCGCAGTCCGATGATCTCATTTAAAGGGGAAACGCTCTAATCAGCCATTCCATTATTCCTTCTTTACTGTAGCTGACTTGTTACTTTGCATGTTTAAATGTCACCATGGTTTTTTATGCCTGGTGTTGCCGTTTTCCCAGTCAGTGACTGAAACCTGTGGCGGTCCATCTTTTGAGAGAACCCAAACTAACCTGGCCACAAACTTAGGTCATTGATTTTTTGGGAAGGAAGACATTCCGCTGTACGGTGGTGTGTGATGTGTTGTGTTGTGTGGTGTGTTGTGGTGTCTCTGTCTTTCTTGCACTGTCCCACTCGCCTTCCTGCTGAGGAATGTCTTTGCTGGTTTGTGCTCCTCCATTTTTTCCTTTCTGTATCCTGCTAAAGGGTTTAAAACTCCTCTTCTTGGCTCTGGTCTCAGTCCATACACACCCACCATTTTTCTTGTCTCTCTTCAGTTTTCCTATTGAGTTTTCTCCTTGGGAATCTTGTAAATTCTAGAAAACATCAGAACCGGACTTAGCACAGTCTTTTATTGTGATGGATTTTCACCAGATGTGGGTGTTTCCCAGAAAGGAGATGGAGCAAAACAGCTGTGTGCTGTTTCCCTGCCTGGCTGATACTTGCCATGGGTGACCTCATCCTCAGAACAGGGTCCCTAGCCCCACAGTGCTGGGCCAAGGCTTCTCTGGATGAGCCAAGGCTTCTCTGGATAGACCAAGGCCTCGGCTCCCATTTGCCAGTTCCTGTGACCCCCCCCACCTATAACATCTTTGTTTGCCGCCACCTTCTTTCAGGCCTTTGGCTGGTTCATGTTTATCTTCACGATAACTGTCCTCATTCAGCTGCTTTACTGAGATGCCTGGCAGGTAAAACCCCAGATAAAAATGCTTGCTGGGGATGTGGGACAGCTTCTGCTGTCACTGACCTGTGTGTGTAAAGCGGGAGTCCGGCCTCCCTGTCACCATTTGCCCCGTTAGCCCCAGTGCCTCCTCCCCCTGAGCAGTTACAGTAATTTGAGTCCGAGCTGTTTTCCCGCAGTGGCATGTGCATTTCCTGTCTGCTTCTCCTTCTGTGGAATGTTGCTCACTCCCAAGTGCTGGGGTGCAGTGCTTGTTTTTCGCTCATGGGTCCGGTGTTTGCACAGGGATTTATTATTGCGCAGTTACTGGGACGCCCCAGCCAAAACCGCCTGTTATTACATTGGCTCCTGAGCTGTGGCCCCGCCCCTGCCTGTGTCACTCATCTGCTTTTTACATTGCTTGCTGATTCACTGGAATCCTGTGCATCGGTCCTCTTTCTTAAAGCCATACCGTCTTCCTTATGATGTCCATTGCTGCTGCAGTTGCACAGTGGCACTTGGGGCACTGGAGAGGGTCCCCTCGCTCTTGTTAGCCACGAGCTTTTCCATGGCTTTGGAGCACAGTGGAACAGCAGCCCGGCTTTGGAAACACTTCACCTCTTGTGCTGAGATATGGTTTTGCCTCCGGTCCTCCTTCCAGGGTGGGTGTTCTGAAAGGCCAGGTGCAGAGCACTAGCAACATGTTACGTCATGCATGTTCTTAGCTGACACCTGTTACTTGCAGCAGATTCACATTTATCCACATGGATCGTTAAACATTCTGTCTTTTGGTCGCAAGTTTGTTTCTACCTGCCGGGGTTGCACACAAAGCACTGTGATAAATGACACTCTGTCCCCAGGGCCTCTTTAGCTCCCTGACCTGTGAATCTATCAAGCTTGGGTTGCCTGCTGCTTGCATATATCCCAGGGTGCTCCGCTTTGCTGCTGGTCCAGGCTGCTCTCCAGCTCTAGTCCTTACTCTGGCATTTACTCCGCTGTCCTGCCTTGGGGCTTGTTTCCCTGTCCCTCAAAGAGAATAAGGGAATAGCCTTATGTTGTAGCCATGATTGGAGCAGTCCAGGGTGTCTTCAGCCCGGTCGCTCCCACCACGCGGCTGTCCTCAGACCCTCTGGTCCGTGCTGCATGTTGCCCGGCACGGGCAGGAAGGTGGGGTGTGGGAGCGTCCTTGCTGGGGGGCAGCATGTAGTCTTTCTGGCTGGGCAGAGGCAGGACAGCTGTGGCTGCTCTGAGATGTGCATGCTGAGAGCAGCCATTCCTCTGCTTCCCCGATCCTCTGCTTCCCCGATCCTCTGCTTCCCCGATCCTCTGCTTCCCCGATCCTCTGCTTCCCCGATCCTCTGCTTCCCCTTTTCTTGGAATGGCATGTGGGGGCATTGCTTGGGTTCAGGTGGGCTGGGGAGCCTGACTGGGCCGCTGTTGTCATGGATATGAGGGAGCTGCCTGGCTCATAGCTTTCCATGAATCATTTCTATTCCCTAATTTGACAATAATGACTCCAGCGTGCTCATGTATTTATTTAGCGGCAGCATTAATTGATGGGAGTGATGAATGCAGGCTTCTTGTTGTGCATTTCATTGCACACAAGGGAACAAAAAACAATTTGTTGTCTGTGTTCTTCTGAAGTCCTTGTCAGCAAGATTACGGAATGACAGTCATTTCTCCCATTTTTCCGCCAAAACCAATAGCATAAATATTCTTTTGTTTTTGTACTTAATTTGCTTTTTTGATTACACTGACTTTCCTGATAAATTTTTAATGCTGATTTAAATTATTTACTTGGTTTGTGTTTCCTGTAACCTGGCTGAGTGAGATGTGCTTGAGTCCTGTTCCCTCCATATTAATCAATGGGCTCCTTCATGCCCTTCCAGGCTGAAGGAGAGGACAATCTGAAGAAGATGCAGCTTATGGAGCTGGCCATTCTCAACGGGACGTACAGGGACACCAACTTAAAGACACGTAAGCCCAGGCCGCGCTCTTCTAGATGGCGTCTATTCTGTGTGTGTTCTCCATGTTGAAGCCTTAGACCTCAGGGGTGTGAAGGCCAGCCCTGATGTGCAGTGTCTGTCAGTGAGTGGGGGCCTCCATGCATGTCTCACTCCCAACACACAATCATGGCCTGACTGTGCGCCCCCTACTGACCCGACGCAGAGGGTTTCCTGGTATCATCGTGGGCTGTTTCTCACCCCTTGTAGGCGGCTGCTTCCATAGGCAGAGTCCTTGTTTACTTGCATCTAATCTTTGGTTGGTTCCCCCACGCCAGGCTCGGCTCTCCATGTGGGTCAGGCCCACTAGCTTCATCTCCTGCCCCTTCCCATCCATTTTGGTGGCTTTATTTGATGAAATCCTCGTCTTTCGTGTGTGTGTGTGTGTGTGTGTGTGTGTGTGTGTGTGTGTGTGTGTGTGTGTGTGTGTGTGTGTGTCATATATACACAATGGAGCCGGCCCTCGCAGTTTGGGTCCGGGATTTTCACCCCGTCCCTCCATCATTTTGGGTCTGGGTATCTGGCCCCCTAAATGGCCACCCCCCTGCCTGGTTTTCCTTTTCGCTGCTGATTTGCTTTGGGTTCACAGTGATCATTGCATGAACTAATTTTCCTTTTTTGTTGTTCCACCCTTCTCCCCTCCCCCCCCCATCTTGCTGTGGTTTGGTTTCTCGCCCTTCCCTCTTCCTCTCTCCCCCTCCCCCTCTCTCCCTCTTTCCTCCTTTCGCTTATGGCAGCCAACCTTGCCTTCTCTCTTGCAGCGGCCGCTGCGGCTGCTCAAGGTCCCCGCCTCATAGCTGCCCCCACTGGGCAGGTCCTCCCCCCCACAGCCCTGAGGCCACAAACACCCGCGGGGACGCCCATCATGAACATCATCCGGCCCACCCAAATGGCCGCCATGTTGCCCAACGGCGCCCCAGCCCTGGTGCCACCGTCACCTGACGCTGGCATCATCTACACCACGCCATACGAGTACCCATACGCCCTGGCCCCCACGTCACTGCTGGAGTACCCCATCGAGCACACCGGGGTTCTAGGTAAGCGTCCCTGGTCAGGCGCACCCTTTAGCCCCGGACTCGAGGGCGGCGTCTTTCTCACTGGCGTCCTGGACGCCGCTGCCACTGCTGGGAGCCACGGGCAGGACTTGTTAAAAGGTAAATACATTGTGTCCACCTGAGGGCGCTAGTGCCATGGCCCCATTCATTGTGTGTGTGTCTGTGTCTGTGTGTGTGTGGTGCTGTTTCTCCAATTGAGTCGGATGCTATGTAACCCTGTCGACTTGTTGCCTAGGTGCTATGGCA